GAAAAAAAATTCTAGATTTTTTGAGCAAGAGACGGTAATCTTTGGATTAAATTAAATTATATTTCTATGCTATCTTAGTAAGTGGGGTTAAAGATATGAGAGGGACTTTATTGCTCTATATTTGAAAGATTGTTTATGAATATAAGGTGTAGGGATACGTTTTTACACTATATAAGGTGTATAAGGTGAAAGATTGTTTATGAATATAAGGCGTAGAAAGCATAGAAATATAATTTAATTTAACCCAGAGATTACCGTCTCTTGCTCAAAAATCAAGAATAAAAGTCTTTATTTCTTGGACAATTACTCACGTTCAAAACTTGGTCCGCCATCTTGCCATGGATGTGACCACGTGCTAATGGTCGTGGGGCTATAGGAGCTAGTAATAAAATTATCGCGCGATAATATTATCTATCGCGCGATAAGTTGTTCTATCACGCGATACAGTTATCTATCGCGCGATAAGTTGTTCTATCGCGCGATACTGTGTTCTATTGCGCGATAAGTTGTTCTATCGCGCGATAATGTTGATTGCAAATTTTTTGAATGAATGGGCTTAGAAAAACTTATCGCGCGATAAAGTCATGAAAATTTTTGTAGGTGGATGGCCCTTGAGAGCCACCGTACTTTACCCCATAAGGGTTTTATAACAAAAGTTGTTTCTAGTGACAACTTCTAATGTAATCTTGACCTGGGAGAAAGTGAAATTTTTCATTACCTCTCTTTTGTTTATCACCTTGATTACATTTCTCCTTGCATCCTACATGTGACTGTCAGTTAACCCTTTAACTCCCACGAGTGACCAAGACATAATTTCTCCTTACAATATCAATACAATTTCAAGCAGACAAGTGATGAGAATAAGGAAAAATATCAATGAGGAATTATTAGTTGATTCAATACCGAATTATCAGAACTAACATCACAAGAATAGTTAGGCAAATAATAGAGGAAAATTCATTACTTGACGAGGGAATTCCGTGTCAAATTGCACCCGAAAACCAATATCGCACGAATCACGAAGCGATGAGTGCGATATCGGTTTTCAAGTGCAATTTAACGTGGAATTCCCGAGTAAAGTAATGGATTTTCCTTGAATCGCCTAGCTGAATAAAAATGAGGAAAAAAGGAAACAGCATTACTTAAAATTGTTATGTTTACGTAGATGTGACACAATATCCCTTAGCCTTGTTTTCAACTCGCAATTCCACACTTAATACCTCGTTTTGTTAACCAATCAGAATGCGAGATTATATTCAATGATGTGATTCTAAGGAGAATTACTAATGTGATCTTGAGAGTGAAAGAGTTAACTCAAAATTTTTCAACTTTGTATTGATTCATTAAATACTTTGTATTTTGCATAAAAAAATGAAATTTGTTCTAAATTTCTTTCCCAGATAAGCCACAAACATAACTAACCAGCCTGAAACCCTGGCCAGTCAATTTTTAATCTCTAACTGGATATTTTTCTCTATGATACACTGTACAACACAAAACTATTTTCACCAATTTAAACCTTATAATTTATGACAACCAAAACTTGAGCTATTTAACTTTTTGTAATACCATCTACATTTTTGAAGACATACTACTAAACCACAGAGAAGTCTTTTAAAGTCCTGTGAAGCCACTACCCTTGAGTATCAATACAAAGAAGATCACTTTTCCACACAAGAATAAGATCACAATGATAAATCCAACAACGAAGCAAATCTTGTTAGAATGTTCTACCAAAGATAAGCATGTCTGGTGGAGCTGGATCCTTGAGAGGAATAGCATAGAATCCTAATTTGGTGTAAAAGTCCAGAGCATTGTTGTTTGTGGTTGCTATCTCGCAGTGCACACCAGTACAATCTTCAGCCTTGAGTGCAGAAAGAACACAAGCTAACAACCGCTTGCCGAGACCAAGATCCTATCAGAAGGAAATAGTAGGAAAACAAACTTAGCATATTGGGGGTGAAGGGTTTCAAAAACTCTTTCCATAAGCAGTTTCTGATGGTGTAAGATGCTGGTTTGGGAACAGGGGCAGCAAGGTACCTTTTCTCTTAAGGGGTCTAAAGGCATGCTCCCCTGACAAAAATTTGGAAATCTAGTAGCTCATAAATGTAATTTCCAGCATTAGAGTACCCGCAAGCTAAACAGATGGCAGTGAGAAGTCTTAAAAGTGGCCGTAGACTGCTGCTAACCAGCTTTTGAAATCTGTTTGTTTGAAATCTACAATCCTCGTCTCTACTGTTAAGCACATAGCCCTTTTCACTGGTATATCAAATGCTTCTTTATCTAACAACCCTTCAAATGTGAGTTAACCTTGTACCTGTGCTCTTGGAAGAAGATGGATCTGTACATGAGCACTGAACTTCAAACAAACATCCTCAGGAAGGAATATTTTTGGATTGTGGAAGCTATTAGCAAGCTGTTCAGCATATGTCCATTCTGATGAATTCCCAGCTGGCGTCTTGTATTTCTTGCACACCTGAGAAAACAATAATTTGAGAAACTGTAGTGAAACTGCTACAGCTATTGGAGAAAGGAGAGTGATGACAGTTACCAGTTAACTCATGCGAATGCAAATCAATTAAAGTAATTTTCATAAAACTGCTACTCCCACACAAAGACTTAATCATTTCGCCAGGAGACTTCTACACATCTGGGAAGCAATTAATAACAAATCAAATTGCTCAAGGCAAAACTTTTTCTCCACAACAAGGGGGGTAGAAAACTAACACAGATTGAAAATGGGAACTTGAAAATATTAGACTTAAAACTCCAAAGTTTACAAATACTGCATAGCTCCTCCAATTTAATCAGTTAGGGGAAAGTCATGTGAGCAGACCAACTTTTACATACCTCTGGAAGCCAGTATTTTTTGAATTGCTCATAAAAATGTTTGGAATCAGGAGCTGCTACTGCATAACCACAGATGCCATCACCGTCTTCCACAACAAACACATGTTCAGAACAGATCTTCAGATATGGACCTACAAACCTGCAATTCAGGACATTATAGATAGTTAGACTGTTACAGTGCTCCCAAAGGGGATAAGCTGACAAGAAATATATTCTCTCCTTTGGCACACTGAGTATCAATTAGAAGGGAAAAAAAGCAGTACTGTTAAAAATCACTGACCTGTCTCCTGCCATATTGAATTGTTTGTCAGGAAATAAGTCATGACCATCTGCCCAGTCATCACAAGTGGACACACAAATTTCATACAAGGATTTCTGGTAGAAATAATCAAATGCAACAGATTGCACAATAACTCTGGTTACAAAAAATTTAAATAAAATCCAAGCTGATTTTTCATTTATACGCAGGAGTATCCTCTGCAACTTTTCTCTTAGTGCATGCATCCTCTGTGAAAGCTCCACAGATCAAATGAATACATGTGACATTAAGGTAAAGAGATTGTTTTCAACTACAAATGTCAATACAGTCATGTACCTCATCATCTGCTTGATATGGTCTGATGGTGTAGATACATGTGGTTGGAATTTCTGGAGCCCTCAAGTTAAACACTTCATGTCCTCCATCAATAGGTAACAGTCTCTATTGACACAATATGCCAAGACAGTTTGAGCAGTTCACTTAAACAATGATTATCTTAGGTATGAGTCTTCAATGTGCAGGTCATATACTGGGAAGAGGGGTGCTAAAAGTATATTCTGCGCTCCAATCTTGTTGAACTTTTATCCAGCTTACTGTACATTTTTAAAAGGGCAACACCTCATGACCAAGCCCTCCTCTTCACACATACTAATGTAGCACATGCATTAAAACATCACACTACAGTATAACAGATATCTCACTAAAGCTCAGGCCCTGGCTGTTCAAAGAGTGGATAGCCTTATCCTTTAGATAAATCCTTATCCTGTGGATAGCATAGTGCATGTCTTCAACACTTATCCAACAGATAGCAATTTATCCATTGGATATCTGCTCTCTGAACAACTAGGCCCTAATTCTCACTTTTATAGTTAGCTTTCTCTAACAATTTCTTAAATCAGGAATCAATAATGAGATCCTTTTTGCCTACTCAAAAAGTGCACCATACCTGCAACTCTCCAAACAGACCTCCTCTGAACACCCATGGTTCAGGGTCCTCAGGAAAAAAGCTCTGTCCCTTTTGTTTCTTCCTCTTATTCTTTGTACTTAACCAGTTCACAAATGTGTCAAGTAACTGCAGGACTTCCTTAACATCCCATACATATGGATACAGGTCGTACAACAATGCTCTGTTGGAGGTTTCTGTTAACCTTACAAACATCTCACCCACTGATCGGCAGATTTCATGGAACTTTTCAGCTCTCTCAGTCCATTCTGATAACTGAAATTTAGCAATAGAAGAACTTGAAGATAGAGATGTTTGTATGTGTGTGTCCATCATCTTATCAGACAGAATGTTCAACAGCTCAGATTAGCGTATATGTTTGTAATCACATTGAATATTTCACAAAAAATGTCATCACTGCTGTTGTGCTCATCTATGCAGTCCTCGTTCACCCTTAAATCCCAATCCTGAAAATACCCGATTGTTAAGATCAAGACAACAACTTCTACCTGAAAAGTTTAAGTATTAGTTCTTTGCTGGATAATGAATGGATATCATAGCAAGGAGTTTCATGATAATCACCTCAAGGAGTGGAAGTGTGAACACATACCTTATATTTCTGCTCTTGCTCAGTAAGTTCCATGAACTCTTGTGAATCCTCTTTTATGGCATTGAACTTTAGCCATTTAAAATCAGCAATGATCTGCATGGCCTTCTGACCATGGTTGTATGGCAGGTAGAATAAATCTACCAACAACAGTAGATCCTCAACACTCAGTGGTGTTATTGCAGGTTTCTCTTTTACTTCCATCACCTCCATTGGCATCTCTTGCTCCTTCTTTACCGCTTCTTCGACCTTTGTTTCTGAAATCCAATTACAAAGATTGCAAGAATATCATACATTTGAGGGGCAGATTAAACTACTAAAGAAAAAACTTAATTTAAGAGTAGTCATAAAAATATAGCTGTCAAAAAATTGTTGCCTTCTTCGCTGAAGACAAGCGTCATTGATATAAGATTTGTTTTAAAAAGCCTCTTCAAGCCATGGGTTTAATAATCTTGAATCCCCAGGCAGCTTTTCAATGGAAATTCAATTTTCTCAAACAAACATAATGGTTTAACTGACTTTTCCATGACCTTAAAAAAAATTTCCCCTAACTTTTCCTGACCTCTTGAAACTGTGAATACTTGTAAGAATACCTCTCAACAACCATAAGTTGTTTTTTACTTAAGTTTCAAGATGGTGCTAATTGTTTCATACCTGGGGACGGGGAAGTGCCAAGCTTTTTCCTACTGTTTTCCTTTGCAATCTTTATTGGTGAGACATTCACTATGGGTGAAGAAACAGGAGAAGTTGCACATGTAGTTGATGTAGCTTGTGTTACCATTGGAGCTTGCGTCTGAACTGCAATGGACTCTGGTGTCATACTGTAGGCACCACTCTTTGCATAGGTCCTGGATGTAGCAGCTTTCACCTTTGAGAATTCTTCTAGCCATGCAGACACAGCCTCTCGTAGAGCAGATTGAGGGTTGTAAGCAATGCGACTAGTGGTGCTCTTAGATTCACTTAGTGATGTACCACTCTCTGTTTCCATAGCTCCCTCTACCTTAACACTTTCACTATCTGTTTCTGGAGAACTATTTTCTTCAGTGGTTCCTTGATCAGTTTCTTTACTGGTGTTGTCATTTCCTTCACTCTCTGTGCTAGCAAGAAGATCTTCCTCCATTGGTTCACTAGAGTTACTTGACTTCTCAGCCTTTGGATCAATACTCATAGGTTCCTCAGCAGTGTTAAGTGAGGAGTCTTTTAACCATGATGAAAGAGTGTGGACGGCAATAAAATTACTTTCAAACTCACAGTTAGGATTGGTCAGTACTCCATTAAGTAAGGGGATTAGCTCCACTGGCCTTCCATCGTAAGGTCCCAAGAAGACTCGACGCTGGTCATAGTCATTTGCATGAATATTGTCCCAAATGACAGGTTTGCGCTTCAGCACATTTGTCAGTGTTTCAATAGTTTGAGTGCTGATCACCTTTGAGACTACCTTTGGACCTAAAATGATTGAACCAACATTGTAAGATCCATGCCATGTTGTGTGCGTTGACACAGAACACAGACACACATGTAGGCTGCTATATACAGGCACGTCTAGTCTTTCTTTCCCAAAGCCAGCATTTTTTAATAATCCACTATTTTCTCAAAGGAGAACTTTTTGTTTTAATTGTCCAAAATTGGAAACTAACCAACTCAATTAATTCATGCAATAGCATAATTTGCAAAACCTTTTTGAAAGTAAGGCATAAATCCAATGAAGTAAGATCCCACTATGCTCTTTTTTTTTTTTAATTTTTTGTACCTTTAAATTATGAATGTTTTTTTTTTTAAATTAAGATTCCCTGCCAAACTTTCAATTGAACAAAAGTTTATTTAAAACAAGCCAAATCATACAAATTTTATTTTTAGTTTAAGTGGGAATTCCTCACTGAAATTAGACCATACCTTGCAGACTCAGAGTTGAAAATTATGTAGTCTTAAAACATATTCAAAGTTTGGTAAAAGACATTGCACCCAGCCACACCTGAAAATTAATCTTACAGAAGTTTCATGATCATAGATTGACACCAATTTTTAATAATATCAAAATGAAGGGAACCAAATACAAAACCTTCACTCAGCTGATATGGCAATTAATTTTTGTAAACCTGATTTGCTTTCCATGAGGGTGGGGTTATAACATCAACACACACAACATACAAAAGGACCCACAAACTTCTACATCAACTACATAAGCAACTCAACAAACTCAAAGAGGACACACAGACAGAACAAAAAGGTTCAAAAATGTTACAGGACCATCATGTACACTACTCTACTGGCACAAGTCAATACAATTTGGCCTTTGTCTGGTTTTGTTATTTCCTTCATAATAGTTTGATGATAGTACTCAAGTGTGCCAGAAAATACTTTGACAATACTATGGCCATATAACATAAAATCAATAATTCTATTTTCAAAAATGTTGCTTTCCCCTTTTGATTGGAAATGACAAAGTTCATACTTCTGCATTGAAGAGTTCCATTTCTTTTAAGATTAACCATAATTTCTCTCTCATTGCAGGTTATTTTTGACAACTTCAAGTGAATTTCAATTTTTTTAAGTTGCACAGAGGTACGAATGAAACATAAAAACTTGTATACTTCCTTCCCAATGCTTGAAAAGAACAAAGAATGAAAATAGAATTATGTATTGGATTTCTCACAATAATTAAAGCACATCATCCTTTGTTTACAAAATTAATCTAACCAATCTATTGTAGGTTCATTACTAAGTTTGCAAAGGGTCATTCCTGATGACAGCAGTGGCCTAAGTCTGAAAGGTCAAATTTTACTGTAGCTGTGGTTGCACAAGTAAGTTTCATCAATATGGGATGATCTTTCTTTATAAACAGAGGAAAACCAGCTCAAATAATGTAAGAAATCCTTCTCTTCACTGTTGATTGTTCTTTGCAGGAAAGTACATCCAATTGTGAGCTCAAATACACAGAATGAGAGGTTCAATATAATTATTGCACATTGCTTGCAAAGAACATTAATCAACAGATTTGTGTAACAAGCAAGGAATGATGTGGTTCAATATTCTTCCATGAGGTTATTCATGCTGTTTATTCCCTTTTTAACATCACAGCGAGTGAAGATTTTGACAAGTTTGAAAACAAAGTTCTTTTACACTTTTTGTATGATGACCCTGCACCAAAACTCAATATAATTCAATTGATATCAACATTCTACAGGTGTCACATTTGATTTTTTACTCTCTGCCTACATCTTGTTTTTTTCCATCCTGTTTTTTTGTTTGTTTGTCTTAAGTGTGGGTTCATATGTGGTCTGACTACGAAATGCCAACCAAACCTGGAATATGCAAAGTTATCCACTGTGCTCCATTTAAGGAACAGATTCAAAATGCTTACAGGATGAAAGCCAATCATTCACCAATAGTAAGGTAAATGTATGTATGACAAATATTACATTTTCCATCATGCTTTTTTTATTTGTACTATGCCAATCAAAAGATTTAGTCAATAAAAATACACAATCTTAAAAAAAAGTCAGTTAAACAGGGGCTATAATCCTGTAAGCATATTGTAGTTTAGAATTGTTTATATTTTTTTGTTGGGCCAAAATTTCTTTTGAGTTGGCTAATTTGTTTATGCTTTTAAGCTTGAACTCTTTCTTTAGTTTGGTTAAAGGAGGACTTTTGTTTTGGTGTTAACTAAGTTCAAACTTCTTCGGATGACCAAGATCAGAAGAACTTTAAACTGGAAGATTATAAACTATACACATGAGTCCATGAACAAATTTGGAAACACTTTAGACAATCTTGAAAAGCTGGCTGGCTGGCAGGAAAGGAAAAACTAAGATGCAACTGTACCTTCAACCAAGCATAGAAGAATCAGGATACGATTTGTTCCTCACCAACACTGCTAAATGAAACAGGACATGTTGACAACAAAACCAGCATTGAACAACAATAAATCAAAAGAGAAATGAAAGCCACAAAATAAGAAAAATAACAAATTAAAAGTTGTCACCTGTCCACATAATGTTTATTTTAGGGTTCAGTTTGTTTCCCAGTGTGATAAGGTAGTCAGATGTCTCTACAGATGGAATAGCTCTCGTGCCACAATATTCTAAACAAGGGAAAAAAAGCATCATTCCAAATCCATCATTGCAATTTTTAGACACTTTTAACCAACTTGTAGATAGCACTAATTCAATTTAAATCTTCAACAACTTTTTCCCTTGGGTGGAGCAAGGGATGCAATAAAGGAAAGGAAGGAAGGGGGTGCAAGAAAAGGAAGGTCATTACATATTGGTAAAGTGCACTTCACTTCAAAAAGAGGGTAAGGTTTGGTTTAAGTGTCTCAGAGATTTATTGACTTATAGATTGTACAATTCTGCTATGTGTAACATGCAAAGTTTATTTATCTGGTATGACCCATTGTTGCTACTAACTTATACCATTGCTAAATGCAACGAACAAAAGAAAGCCTGCACTTCCATAACAAAAAGGACTAATAATAATTTTCATAATGATGAATGTGAAGTAGATCAGAAGTTTACTGTACCTGTTGGACAAAAGAGAAAACTTGGGCATCCCAAGTGTTTGTGAACATTATTTGTGATTTCCACCTGAGCATCTCCAAATGAACTGAATGCATCAAGATCAGCACCATGTAGCTGAGGATCAATGTCATCAAATAACAGAGCAAATGCTACACAACCAAGCTTCTGCACCTGAAAAGAGACAAGGAAATGATACAATTAACTTGTTTTCTGTTTTGAGTCTATATTTTCTAGGAAGCTCAAGCTTGCAAATACACAGCTTACAGTTGATGGAACTCAAGAACAACCTTTCTTTGGAGGGTACTTGAAAGGGCTACTTACATGTGTGTGTATCCAAAAGAAAGTTGTAAGGAATACCAACACTAGCAATTAGCAATTCTGGTGCTGTATGAGCAAAAAACAGCTTTCATTTAACTTCTCTATCCCTGGATGTCTGTTAGCAACTTTAGATACATTCAGATGACAGATCATGATTTTCATGATTGATCTTGGGGATAAAAACCTCTAGATAAGACTGAAACCTCTTGAAGACACTAAAGAGTAAAATGCTATAATTTAAGGCCAACACCACTAAAAATATTTTATTTATCTATTTACTCATTTTGTTTGTTTTTTTCTTCATCCCTCACAGGGTGCGACAAAGATGGTGTCCACTTGCCCCAGACAAGTAGTTTTGGCCAGTGGACAAGTGGATTATCAATCGTACTTGTCCTTTGGACAAGTGAATCTTCAGGAAATAAATAAAAATAAGGTGTCTTCGGTGGAGAAATTAGTATAAAATTAAGTTTTTGCAAGTGTTAAACAGATCACTTTTCGCAAACGAAAGTTACAAGTTAGAAATGAAATGAATTGAGCACTTAGGATTTAACCGCCATTATATTTCAGTGAGTACCAAAAGGAGCCTGGGACTCATTTGGGGTATCGATTTGTGCATTTATCACTAGACCCTCTAAGTAACTTTCAGCACATAAACAATGGCTGACCAGCGAAGCATAAAAGGCTATTTTGGTGCACCGGAAAACGCAGAAAAGCAACAGAAGAGAAAAGCAAATCCTTCAGCAGAAGGCACCATGGTGAACGAGAAGAAAAAAAAATCTGAAAATCCAACAGTTCGAGTTCGAAAGTTTCAGGAATCTTGGAAGGACGCCTTCCCGTGGGTAGTACACGATGCGAACCAAGATGTGATGTATTGTTCCATATGTAGAAGATATCCCGCGTTTGCAAATCTTCAAAGTTCTTTGTACATTGGCTGTGGATCAGGCGGAAAGTATCGCATAGATTCGCTTCTTCATCATAAAGCGTCAAAGGAGCATTATCGTTGCTCGCTACAATTTGAAAAGGAATCGAATCCTGACTACGTAGAACCGATTAAGGCAGCTGTTCAAAGAAACGTGGTTAAACTAAGTGATAAGTGTCATTCTGCACTTCAGTGCCTGTTCAACACAGCCTTTTTTGTAGCACACGAAGAACTCGCTTTCAGAAAATTTGCTGGTCTGTGTGAGTTACAGAAGAAGAATGGTGTACAATTTGGGGACCAGTACAAGAATGATAAAGGATGCAAAACATTTATTAACCACATAGCCCAAGTAGAGAAAGGTAAAATTCAGTCTGCAGTGAGTGATAGTAGATTTATGTGCATATTATCAGACGGATCTACTGATTCTGGTATAGTAGAGCAAGAAACTGTGTATGTCAGATATGTTAACAAGAAAGGCCGGTCAGTTTGTCATTTTGCGGATATAGCTGCCTTAGAATCTGCTAATGCAGATGGAATTTTACATGCAATCGACCAGAGTCTTGCTGGGATTGGCATAACTGAGACAACTCTCCAACAAAAACTGGTAGGATGTAATTTTGATGGTGCTTCAGTGATGCTTGGTTCGAAGACAGGAGTTGCAACTCAGCTAAACAACAGAGTCAATCAAAACATTGTCATCATGCATTGTGTTGCGCATAATTTAGAACTTGGGGTTGGAGATGCCATTAAAACTGTCCCTTATCTGCAATCTTTTTTGGACAATGTCTCCCAAATCTTTCGATTTTACTATTACTCTCCTAAAAAAAGGAGAGAACTTCATGGTTTTGCTGACATCTTTGAGGAACAGGCTGCCTACTACAGTAGTGGCTCTAAGAAAACCAGATGGGTAGCCAGTCGACACAGAGCTTTGTTGGCCTTAGAGAAAAACTTTGCTATTACGGTAAAACACCTTGAACATGTGGGTACAGGGACTGGTGAGGATGCAGCAAAGGCTAGAGGCATGGTGAAAGCAATCAAGGCTGAAAAGTTTGTAAGATTTTTATACTTTCTCCTTGATGTTACTAAAATTCTGAGAGAATTAAGTCTACAGTTTCAAAGTGATGACCTGTTCATTACTGAAGTCAGCACCAAGTTGGAGACAGCTCTAACAAAACTGGAAGGCCTCAAGGATTCTGATCCATTGCCCATAACAGCTACTTTCCAAGCCAAGTTCCAGTCAAACTATAATTCTGAGAGTGGCCTCTTCAAATGTGGAAAAGAGAGTAATCTTGATGTTGTACTGAACAAGGGAAATGCGATGGGGATGCAACAAACATTTTCTAACTTTCTAACTGATGCCATTGCCTACATTGAGAAGAGATTTTCCAGCCTGTCTAAACCTCCAATGAATTACTTTGAAGTATTTGATCCTACCAAAGTGCCAGGGGAGAGAAAGCTGAGAGCCAGTTTTGGCAATGACAAACTAGTTGCATTAACTGATCACTTTAGTAACTTGTTGTCTGATGATGAAAAGGAAGGTGCTGTTTTTCAGTGGCAGGAGTTGAAGATTTACCTCTTCAGTCACCAAGCAATGAAACCCCTTGATGTCTATGCCAACTTATTGTCGTCTAGGCCAGATAGCTTGAAGCATATTCTTGTCTTAGTTGAACTCATGCTTAGCCTCTCCCCTTCCACCGCCAAATGTGAGAGGTGCTTCTCGGCTATGAACAGAATAAAAACGAATTTGAAGACTCGAATGGAGCAGAGAACCTTTGTCAGATCTGCTGAGGATCAAAGGAATGGACTGTGAAATAAACGACTTTGACCCTAACCCAGCAATTGAAGCGTGGCTTCTTGGTGCCAAGACAAAAAGGCATGCGATGAAAAGAGGCCATGAGGCAGCAGTGGTTGTCCCCACAGATGGCCCATCTGTCAGTGGGCCCTTCAAAACTCCTCCTCTCTTGCCTCCTTTGCCTGAGTTACCTCAAATAGACAGCTCTGACAGCGATTCAGAGTAGTGACTTACACATATTAAAAGACTCAAGAAACAACACTGTAAATAAGTATACCATTACTTGTATGCATTATGAGTACTTTATTGACACTTCAAGTGTAGTTGTAGTTCCTTAGTAGAAAGGTTTATTCCTCAACCATTATCATGCATCAGAGCTTGGATTTTACTCTACATCCAAGGACAACTAGACTTGGGGTTTGGACAAGTAAAACCAGAACCTCACTTGTCCATTGGACAAGTGGATTTCAAAATTTTTTTCTTACCCTGTCCCTCACTGTTTCAGCCATGAAAAAAGAGTATTTTTCCAAGATTTGGTTTCAAGAAATACTGTACTACTAATTTTACCTGATCCATTTTCTTTTTGAGCAGCTGTATGTCTCTTGAGCTTGAAAATAATATATCAAGTCCAGGGGACAAGGCATAGTAGAGGGTTATCCCACATTCCTTTGCTGATACAATAAGCTGTTTTAAATTCTCTGTGAGTGGTTATAAAGAACAAATAAGATAAACAATTTAAATAAATTAGGACTGTTCATCTGAACTAGCCAGTTAAAAGTTCTAGTGCAGCAATTATTCAGTAGGGCACAATGGGCACTTCTCAGGTTATGCACTTGCAATTGTTTGCTATCTTTGGGCCATCTCACTTGAAATTTTAGCTGGCAGCCTAATGATACTACCTGTTGAACTTTTGAGAATTCTTGGTCACTGCTACTACTAAAAAAATAAGTGCTGTCCAAGGCAGCCAATTTGAACTCAAGGTGAAAGTTCCTAAAGAAACTGTGGTGATGTGTTGGTGGGGCTAACAAGGTAATTTGGTTATATCAACTAAGTTGAAATTGTAAATTGACCTCTGTAATGAGTTAAAAAGCTGACGTTGCAAGCGTTAGCCCTTCGTCAGAGTGAATGACGAAGGGCTAACGCTCGAAACAGCTTTTAAACTTGTTATGGTGGCCAATTTACAATTTCAACCAATTTGATACAACCAATTTGAACTCAGTCTGATTTATAATTTACCGGTTTCTTCTGGACTATAGAGGTCTCTCCATAGTGCTCTGTGCTTGAGGTCATCTTTGGGAGCATACAGGTAAGTATTCATTCCCAGCTTCTTTATCCTAAAAGATAAAAAGCGAAATTTTATTTTGTTCCACTTTATATGCAGTTTCAAAGAATGATGGAATTAGTGACAAACACTTGCTGTCACTCAGATTTTCCATTTTCCCCTGCAACACAAGATTGTGATGAAACAAGATTGATCAACAACCATTATCAGAACCCAAGGACATTAGGGCATAGCTTAGCCTATCTGTTACGTTGAGTTACCCACATGTCAACATTCTTAGATGTGCATATTAGCTTCTAAAACCATGTGGTGCATTTCGGAGCCTGTAAAGGCCTAAGTTTTGTTATATTTTATATTTATCTCCCTCCTTTTATACTTATTTACCAATTACGTATGTTTCTTGTTTTGAATCAAAATTAAACACTTGTTCAAGCCTTAGAGGTCTCCCTTTCTCATTTTTTACAAGTGAATCACACTTGTGACCTTCTTTGGGAAAACGTACACTAAAGATATTCCATTAGACGGTCTAGACCACTAGCTATCCATTAGTCACCCGTTAGAGAAATAAACGAAAACCGTTAGAGGCGTTAGTCAATTCATTAGCATCTAATCTGTAACCATTAGAGCATTAGTTGAATTCGTTAGAGCGCAAGTTGAATTCGTTAGGGCATTAGTTGAGTCGGTTAGAGCGTTAGTTGAATTTGTTAGAGCGTTAGTTGAATTTGTTAGAGCGTTAGTTGAATTTGTTAGAGCGTTAGTTGAATTCGTTAGAACGCTAGTTGTATCCGCTAGAGTGTTAGCTCTATCTGTTAGAGGAGTTTTGCAGTCTGTTAGTCGTATCCATGAGTGACGTTAGTAAATCTGTTAGTATCCTAAACTTTACTTGTTGGAGCGCGAGTCATATGTATAAAGTGTAGGCCGATGTATAAACAATTTTTTCCTCTCTTACCCTCGTGTTATACGGATTGTCGCATGAACTGACTAAAAAGTTCAATGCAGGATTCAGCTAGGGAACATTAATACCTTACCGGGCCGTGTTGATGAAAATTCTTGATATCTGGTGTGCTCATGGCCTTCAGATCTAATGAAATTAAACACTATTTATTTTTGTGGAAGAGATTAAAAAATTATCCACACTCCGTTCGCCATGTTTTCGTTCTTGGCTCCAGGCTTCCTTAGGGTTGTTACCCTGGTAACCGATAATTCCAACATAAAAAAACACCAAGCTTTCAAAATTCTTGATTTAAAACTCGAAGTTCTCGGTATACCGAACAATATTCTTCAGCCAGGCGAAAGTTACAGTACATTGTATGGAATAGAACTTCGATTAAAAGAAACTCAATATAACGAAATTCTCATTATAACGAATGCAATTGAGGATCCCAAACATAATATAACATAAAATTATACCCCGATTTAACGAAGTAGAAACATGTATGGTGAATACGTTCGCAATCACCGGATACTCTGTTTGGCAAATGCTGGCAGATCACGTACCAAAATTTTCAGAATTCTCAGCACAGAAATCATCGTTGCTGCAAAAAAATACGGTCTCTAGAATTATACAGCGCTCTAAGGAAAAGGAAGAAGGACTGCAAAAAGATGATTGGCGTGGACGTCCATTGCAGTTGTTTTGCAGAACGTCGATTTGCCCGTTTGAAGAAGACTCAATTCGCCTGATCATTGGTAATTTTCACAATCGTCAAAGCGGACTCTTTTGGCATTAAAAGCCTTCAGCCAGTTAGCTGTTTTCAAAAAGACTTTGCAACACCGTTTTACACTTCCTTGCTTCATACTTTTTTCGATCGACCGCTTACACCATTTGGGTGAACCATAAGGAGCAAAGTGAAACAGGTGGACCAACCATTAGTGCGTCAGGACAAACCGTTAAGACATAGGGACAACGCGTTAGAATGTTTGGAATAACCATTAGTGTTAGGACAAACCGTTAGAGTGTTAGGACAAATCGTTTGAGCATTAGGACAAACCGTTAGAGCATTAGGACAAATCATTTGAGTGTTAGGACAAACCGTTAGAGCATTAGGACAAATCGTTTGAGCATTAGGACAAACCGTTTGAGCATTAAGACAAACCGTTAGAACATCTGAAAAGCCGTTAGCTATCCATTAGTTTTCTAACGTTTAACGGAATATCGTTAGTGTACGTTTTCCCAAAGAAGGTCACACTTATGCCAGTACGCATTTGCTCAGCTCACAATTTATGCATTTTTCCCCCCGACTGTGCCAAAAAAGTTGCCTTCAAATAAATCAAATAAAGGGACTATGCCTAAAACATAAGTTTTTCAAAGTTTGTTTCTGCAGTTTACTTATCTAAGTCAACATCTAGCTACTGGTGTACAAGTCTACTGATAAAGAAATAGTTTCTATAGAAACTACAATAAATTTATCTCCGACACCTGCCTGCTTGCCCTAGCACATTTCTCAAAGTCACGAATCCATTTTTTCACAAAGCATTGACGTTCACAACCTGACCAACTTTTTCATCTTCCCAAAATAAACATTTGAGGGTTTTAAATGGCAGAATTTAGCTATACATGTACCTGGGTCAAAAATACAACAGGAGACTTCCAAACATGTGAAAAAAACACCAGTTGTTCGATTTTAAATAAAATTGTTTCAGTGATGTGAAAATAAATATGTATTCCTCATTTGAACAACAGTTTTCTAAGCTGTGACATGCAACAGATCACAGACATAACGCAACATCCTTGGGAGACAGAAAACAAAATCGTGCGATATCAAATGTATCTTACATAGAAACCAAATAAATTCAATTACTTCTAAAGCAGGTTGTACGAATGTGAATAGCCAATGAAGTTGAAAAAGGTGATTTTCCTAGACCCAAACATTTCGAATTAAATCAAGGAAGTCTGATTTCACAATAAATTGTGCTTGGAATATTTATCACAGCTGCACTGGGGACCACTATGAGAAGCTTCTCGTCGTTAACTAAGTAGCTTATGAATTAAAGTTTATTTAATGAAGGCCTCTGCAACCGAGCTAAGACAAATGTTGAGGTCAATAATGCAAACGATTTACCTCAAAAACAACTCTTTTCGCTGCTCAAATGTCCACGGTCTTCCATAGAACCCTGTCAAAAGTTGAAAAACATTTTATCTAGATATGCATGTTCAAAGTGATTTTGGTTCGGCCCTTTTCGTTCGTCTTGGATTCAACTTAGCTGCAAGAAAAAAGCTTTTACCTTCCACAACCCCGCTAAGGAACTCTTCATTCCTGGCTTTAGACACATCTGAACTCATCGTAGTTCTTTTCTTGGATCCTACACGAATTTTAAGCTTTGAATTTTTTAGAACACGGACCTGTTCAGAGGACGCCTTCATCGGTACTTTCTTCTCAGGCCCAGTTGGATTATGCGCAGTTTCACCATTAAATCACGTTTGTCCGGTTTTCACGATTCCCGCGAAATTCCCGCGCCCGATGAACAAAAACACCTGTAAAGAAGTAGACTCTATAAAGAAAGCAACAGAGAAAGTTTCCTACTCACTTAACATACGAGCGATGTACACATGAAATTGGAGGCGTAAGTAACCGCAGTTGAAGAAATAGCTTGGAATGTGTGCACATTCTCCTTATTTTGGTTCTAGTCTTCTCAGATGCTACCGCGATCACACTGTCACTTGGAATACCCGTTGGAAGATGAAGGTTAATCAAAACAACTGTGTGTCTGTAGTAAATGTCCCAGAACATGTTGCAGAATGTGTTGATGTTTTTCATTACAATCCAGTCTTGGATTTGTATGCAACGTTTAGTTACAAAGATGGTGTATCTGTTTGGGATCTCCAGAGTGGAAGAGTTGTAGTCAGGTTCGAAGACTCGGATGAAGTCCTCCATTTCCTGCTCTTAGGCTACCGGGAAATCGCCTTGCTATGAGCTCCTCGTGCCCAAATCATGGAGGCAACATCAAAAGCTGTACTTTTGAGGAAGACAAATCTATGTCTGATAAATTTGAAATTGACTCTAAAGATCTTCCGCTAGTTTATCCGGGAACCATAGCTTTGTCTCCAGGAGGGAATATTCTCCTCTCTGGAGAGCTTAACGGAGTTCCTAACGGAGATCTTTTCGAAGTCTTCATTGATTGGGCTAATTTAAAAGTCCTGAAATATGGAGAAATTTTGTTTTTAAACGAAGTGACCGAGGTAATAGAGGAAACGGTGTCAACACCACTACTTTCTTGCTCTCAGGATTTTGTTGTTGTACAGTGCAATGAGCATCAATCTCACTTTGAATCCGACACTTACCACGAATTGTCAGCTGCAAAAGTGAGCTTTAACACTGGAGGGGAACCACAGATCCAGAGACAAGAGAAAATCACATTTATAACAACTTTATTACAATAAAGTTGTTATAAATAAATAAATAAATAAATTATCTGCTTAATGGAGAAGAAAACCGAATCTCACCTGGCGATTGTCTTGGTGGACTTGTTTATGATGGACACAATCTTATCGTTGCAAATAGGGATGAAATTGTGTCGCTGGAGTCAGCAACAGAAGGGAGCAACACACATATGATTGCATCAGATGTTAAACCCTCACGAATAAAGATAAACCATGAAGACCAATTGATGGTCTGTGAAAAAAACGGTATCAAGTTGTATGCATTCAAGAATGAAGTTAAGTCACTTCAGAGTGTGTCGACATAATATCAGAGAAATAATTGGCACTAATTGTCCTGAAAGAGTAAATAATTTTGAAATTCTTTGTTTACTGAAAGATTACCTAATGTACAAAATAAAGTGAAGAACAATTATAATTAGCATTATAGGATATCTACATCTATTTTCCTATAAGAAAGAAGCACTTCCCTTTTGAAATAAAAATTACTCTTAATGACCAGTAGTCTGTTTCAGGCTGTCAGCTTGCAGTGATATTCTTAAGAGTGGGGTAAGCAACAAACAACAGCTGTGGTTATTATAGAACTAACTCCTGCCAATTTTTTGTATTCCCACTGTTTCATTAAACATAAGGCTGGCACAGGCTACATCACTCTTTTCACTTAGATCAAAGGCACAGAAATTTTGTTATGGCTCAGCATTTTAGATAAAATAATTGTTTTACAAACAACTGAAAATTATAAACAGCTATTCCAGGGTGCCCTCTTGACCTGATATTAAACATGCCTGGCAGTAACCATTATGACACAGTACCTCTGATGTATTTATGAGCTTGTTTTATTAACATGTTTTTCCCTTTGGTGTATAGTTTCATATTGACTCAGTACTAAAATCAGACAGAACTTTATCTAAATTTTTCATCCTTCCCCTATGTTATTCTTGATCCTCTAAGCCTGTCCTCAGCCATTTGATTTATGGCTAAGGGTGAGCACAAGGGTGAGCCCCACCCATAGCTTTCTTGTTCATTAAATATCCTTAAACACTTGTTTCATTTGTGCTCTAGAGAATGAACTCATAGAAAACAAAAGGTGTATGAAGAGACTATGACCTTGTTGACTTTCCATATCAATATTTTGGAGTAGACCTTTCCTCTAGCATGCACTCATAGGGTACAGAGGGAAATCAGATTGAGGAAATCCAATTTTTTCCAAAATCACTGACTACCCTGGTTACCGACTATAATACTAAAAATGTGGAAACTGCTCATTTGAATATTTTAGGTTCAGTCACGGTCATGCTTTTTTTACTTGCAGACCAATCACTTATAAAACCTGCAGTCAAGTGTTGGATGATATCGAACCAATGTGAAATCATTCCCTGTTCCATGATTTTTTGTTCTGTTTCCCTCATTTTTGAATTCCAGATTCCTATCCAAAAGTTCTGTTTCCCAGTCCTTACCTGTGTGACCAATAGAAGTGTAGTAGACTAGTAGATGGCTCGGAGTGGTCCTAAGTTCCAGGGGGTGTTTAGCAATGTTTTACGCCGAAAAGCGGCAAGTAATTCATGGCAGTCTCCATATAGACTCCCTGTTACCCAGTCTCCATATAGACTCCCTGTTACCCATTCTCCCTGTGTACCCTGTGTACCCTGTGTACCTTGTGTACCCTGTGTACCCATGTGTACCCCGTGTGCCCTGTGTACCCCGTGTACCCATGTGTACCCCGTGTACCCCTTGTACCCCGTGTACCCCGTGTACCCCTGTGTACCCTGTGTACCCATGTGTACCCTGTGTACCCATGTGTACCCTGTGTACCCTGTGTACCCTGTGTACCCTGTGTACCCTGTGTACCCTACCAAGGGTA